CTCCAGCTGAGGTTGTCATTCATGTGTACACCCAAGTACTTGTAGCTGGAGACCACTTCCACCGCAGATCCTCTTATGTTCAGGGGGGTGTAGATGTTTTTGTTCCTTCTGAAGTCCACACTCATCTCCTTTGTCTTCTTCACATTGATGTGAAGGTTATTCTCTTTGCACCAGCTCTCCAGGTGTTCCACCTCTTGCCTGTAGCTGGACTCATCATTGTTTGTGATGCATCCCACCACCGCTGTATCATCTGCAAACTTTACAATGTGACAGCCTTGATGGGTAGCTGCACAATCATACGTGAGCAGAGTAAACAGGAGAGGGCTCAACACACATCCCTGAGGAGAGCCAGTGCTGAGGGTTATGGTGGAGGAGGAGAGGTTGTGGATCCTCACTAACTGTGGTCTGTTTGTTAAAAAGTCTAGTACCCAGTTGCAGATGGAGGGGCTTAGTCCTAGTGTGGATAGTTTGTCCATCAGGGTTTGGGGGATCATGGTGTTGAAGGCGGATGTGAAGTCCACAAAGAGCATACGGACGTAAGAGTTTTTCTGCTCCAGGTGGATGAGCGCAGTGTGGACCACAGAGGAGATTGCATCCTCTGTTGATCGGTTCTCACGGTATGCGTACTGATGAGGGTCCTCGTTGATGTTGATGGTTGTTTTGATGTGAGTCATGACCAGTTTTTCAAAGCATTTAGCGACTATCGGGGTGAGGGCCACTGGCCGATAGTCATTCAGACCAGTCACTGTAGAGCTTTTTGGGACTGGGATGATGGTGGCAGTCTTCAGGCAGGTGGGAACTGTCTCCAGGGTAAGTGAGGTGTTAAAGATGTCTGCCAGCACCTCACAGAGCTGATCAGCACATTCCTTCAACACTTTTCCGGGGATGTTGTCTGGGCCAGTTGCTTTGTGCGGATTAATCCTCCTGAAGGTACTCCTTACTTCTGCTGAGGTCACGCTGAGATGCTCTTCATCCGGTGGTGAGGTGTGTCTGGTGCTGGGTGGTCTGTTCGGGTCTTCAAAGCGTGCATAGAACTTGTTGAGGGCATCAGGCAGAGATGGGACTTTGGGGCATTGTTCACTCCTTCCTTTATAATCTGTTATGCACTTAATGCCCCTCCACATGCTCTGAGGGTCTTGTGAGATGAATTGACCCTCGATCCTCTGTGCATATGTGGCCTTGGCCTTCTTAATACCAGCAACCAGCTCTTTTCTTGTCCTACTCAGCTCCTCTGAGTTTCCAGACCTGAAGGCAGTGTTCCTGGCTTCCAGCAGGGTACGCACCTCTGCATTCAGCCAAGGTTTTCTGTTTGGGTAGCTTTTAACATTTCTGATAGTGGAGACGGTGTCAGTACATGTACTAATGTAACCCAGAACTGAGGATGTGTATTGGTCAAGATCAAGCGATCCTCCATTTTCAGCAGCTTCTCTGAAAACCTGCCAGTCTGTTCGGTCAAAACAATATCTCAGTATGGGGCCACTTCAATCGTGAAGTGGAATGAAATGTATTGGATGTGTCAAACTTTTTTAACAAATAAAAAACTGAAAAGTGGGGTGTGATATATTATTCGGCCCCTTTACTTTCAGTGCAGCAAACTCACTCCAGAAGTTCAGTGAGGATCTATGAATGATCCAATGCTGTCCCAAATGACTGATGATGATAAATAGAATCCACCTGTGTGTAATCAAGTCTCCGTATAAATGCACCTGCTCTGTGATAGTCTCAGGGTTCTGTTCAAAGTATAGAGAGCATCATGAAGACCAAGGAACACACCATGCAGGTCTGAGATACTGTTGTGGAGAAGTTTAAAGCCGGATTTGAATAAAAAAAGATTTCCCAAGCTTTAAACATCCCAAGGAGCACTGCAAATCTACCAAGACCCGGCCGTCCCTCTAAACTTTCATCTCGAACAAGGAGAAGACTGATCAGAGATGCAGCCAAGAGGCCCATGATCACTCTGGATGAACTGCAGAGATCTACAGCTGAGGTGGGAGAGTCTGTCCATAGGACAACAATCAGTCGTACACTGCACAAATATGGCCTTTATGGAAGAGTGGCAAGAAGAAAGCCATTTCTCAAAGACATCCATAGAAAGTGTTGTTTAAAGTTTGCCACAAGCACCTGGGAGACACACCAAACATGTGGAAGAAGGTGCTCTGCTCAGATGAAACCAAAATCAAACTGTTTGGCCACAATGCAAAACAATATGTTTGGTGTAAAAGCAACACAGCTCATCACCCTGAACACACCATTCCCACTGTCAAACATGGTGGTGGCAGCATCATGGTTAGGGCCTGCTTTTCATCAGCAGGGACAGGGAAGATGGTCAGAATTGATGGGAAGATGGATGGGGCCAAATACAGGACCATTCTGGAAGAAAACCTGTTTGAGTCTGCAAGAGACCTGAGACTGGGACGGAGATTTATCTTCCAACAAGACAATGATCCAAAACATAAAGCCAAATCTACAATGGAATGGTTCACAAATAAACATATCCAGGTGTTGGAATGGTCAAGTCAAAGTCCAGACCTGAATCCAATCGAGAATCTGTGGAAAGAGCTGAAGACTGCTGTTCACAAACGCTCTCCATCCAACCTCACTGATCTCGAGCTGTTTTGCAGGAAGAATGGGCAAGAATTTCAGTCTCTCCATGTTCAAAACTGATAGAGACAAACCCCAAGAGACTTGCAGCTGGAACTGCAGCAAAAGGCGGCGCTACAAAGTATTAATGCAAGGGGGCAACAATCTACAAGGTCACAATATACGGTGGTCACAGAATATGGTGTAACACCTTCAGTGTTTCTGTGCGTCTCCTCCTGTCTCAGCATAAAACGCACACAGGTGGAGGAGATGGCGACACCTCTGTGTTACTCGCTCACCAGTTTAGCAGCTTAGTGTGGGCAGTGGTTGACCAGGGGTTTGATCATAAACATATATTCACGTTAGGATGCTTGAGAGGAGCTACGTCTGTAGCATCTCAGCAGTAACTGTGACGCTGTAAAACGCTGCAGGTGTAAGAGACGCTGTGTGTTCAGGTGCATTAAAGCTGAAATGTCTTTTAAACCCCCACACCTTATTGTCCTCAAGCTTCATGAGAAACATAATTTAGATGAGTAGTGTTGAACACAAGTAAAAAAGTCTAGTGGTGATGTTTTTTATTTCTCTATAAAGACAAATAGTGCCGATCTGACGCTCTGTATTAAAGTGTATTAAAGTTAAAATGTCTTTAAAACCCACAGCTGAATTTACACAAACGGTGAGAAACATGCTTTAAATGTGTGGAATTAAATTAAATCTAGGTGAAATGTTGCTTTTTTGTTCACTAGTGAACACCTTTTTTTTACACACACACACATGCACGCGTGCCTGGACACACGCACACCTACACACATCATTGTGTGTCCCCCCACATTACGGAAGGTTCTGATGCCTTCCTGATTCCTTTTCTTGAGACCAAACTGACACATCACTTGCTTATTTCCTCTGATTCCTTCACCAACATGTCCATTCAGATCTGCTCCAATCACCACTCTTTACCTCCTGGGAATACTCTGTCAATTCTTCTAGGTCCTTCTTTCCAGAGTATCCAGTATTTTATATTTAGGTCTTTCTAAAAGTATAAAAAATGTTTTCAAATGCATTTTACAAACCGGATTCCAAAAAAGTTGGGACACTAAACAAATTGTAAATAAAAACTGAATGATGTTGTGCAGTGTGAATGCAAACGCACCAGCTCAAATGTAAACAAAAGGTCATGAATATTGATCCCGAACCGAACCGAGTCTACCGGACTATCTGGTGTGAAAACGACCTCACACTCCATTCTTCCCTCACTTGTGAACAAACCCCCAAGATACTCGAGCTCCTCCACTTGAGGCAGAACCTCATCCTCTACCCGAAGAGAGGAATCCACCCTTTTCTGACTGAGGACCATGGCCTCAGATTTGGAGGTGCCTATTCTCAGCTGCTTCACACTCGTCTGCAAACCACTCCAGTGAAAGCTGAAGATCACGGCACGATGATTGCTCTATGTGTAGCACTCAAACTATGAGTTGAAGATGACTGTCAGCTATTACCACACAAATGTTTAGCTCAGCATCTGCACAGTTAGATGAGTTAGTTTATAGCCCTTTTTGTGTTTCACAAGTTCACTTGGTTGTGGTGGCCATATTGAATTGGGTTAATTAAGCCTACAGGCTAAATGTGCCTCCAAGGTTTCATAAAAAAGTTTTCTCTGACGGTTTCATAAAAATCATTCTAGTTGGTCATAAAATGTTTTACTAACAAACACAGTAATTAACGGCAATTTTTCAAAAACATAGTTAGTATTCTATACCACCTCGTAAGCTAGCTGTTTTTTTCGATACGTTTCCTTTTAATTATCCCTTTAATTATCATTTTGTTTTCAATTGTTAAAAAAAAAAATAATAATTGTATGCATCATTTGTGATTGTCTATTGTTTTCATTGTTGTCCACTGTTGTCTTTGTTAACGTCTAGGTCTCTCTTGTAAATGAGTCCTCGTGACTCGGGACTAACCTGTTTAAATAAAGGTTGAATGAATAGTGCTTTAATGGATTAGTTGTAGATTACTTTATAGAGTTTCATTCAAATCCGTCCACTGGTTCATGATATATTGTGCTAACAGCACACACTGATATAAAGATCACTGAACAAGAGAAAACCAGAGCCCTATAAAGCCCTCTCTTTATAGGGCTCTGGAGAAAACATTAGTAGTTGGTGTGTTATCGCGAGATTTGAGCACGTGATTTCTCTGGACGAGAAGTGGAGACAGCTTACACAGCGGAGCGGAGTGGTCACAGTTGTCTCCTCTCCTTGCCTTCATGACAGCTAGGTTAGCCTGTAAAAGCAACAAGCCCGGTCCGACAGCGTCTCAGGGAGTTTAGTGACAGCACCGCGTGTTGTTTTCTTTAAAGTTTGTCGGTATTCTTCTTTCCTCTCCCTGTACAAGCTTCTGGCTGCGGATTGACTCAACAATGTGACGAGGATGCTTCCAGCTAACCTCCCAAATGTCGTCAGGGACCAGAGTAACAGCATCACCAACATTTGAGGTAAGAATCACAATTTAACTGATCACTTCTGCACCTGCTGTGTTGATGCGTGTGAGAAAGACTTGGGCTTTTGTCAGGAGTCTGTCCAGCGGTTTGTCTTTAAACAGAAGCTGATAAAACATGATGCCCAGCCATTACAGTTAATTTATGCCTAAAGCTGTAAAATAAAAAAGCTGTTAATATTTAATCTGTGAAAATATTTTTCACCTTTCCGACTTGCTTACAGGTCATTGTTATGGTAGGTGACTGATTTAACATGATTGTGGTTAGATTGTAATCGTGATTTTTTTTAAAAAACTATATACAAGTATTAACCTGCCAGTAAGCATTTAAATCAAACATTTACAGTCATTAGTAATTTAATGGTCTTTTTCTAGGACCTCAGTAACTTAAATATTACAAAAAGAAAAGAAAAGAGTTTTTGCATCATTTCAACTAAACTGTCTGAGCCACAGAAAGACTCATCTGTTCAGTGTTGTTGAAGCAGAGATTTAAAAGCCTTCATGGACTTTAATTTTAAGGCCTTTAATCAACAATCATTTACACATGTTCAGAGAGTCGGTTTCTTTATTGTTGTTCGCACCACATGTGGTGGAACGAAATTATGTACACAGGGTCCCACTTACATCTAACAATAAAAATGTAAAATAAAAACAACCATAACATCTAATATATGAACTTTTTAGTTTTCTACATTTGCCTGTTTTTAGCTGTTTTTTGTTACTTTTCTTTTTAGCCATCCTATTTGTTAAGAAAAAAAACAACAACAATTGTATGACTTTTTATAACTGTTTATTGTTGTCGCTGTTGTCCACTGTTGTCATCATTCTTTGTAGAAATCAGGTTTCTCTTGTAAATGAGTCCTCAAGGCTCAATGGGATTTACCTGTCTAAATAAAGTACACTCAGCACTAATAGCATAAAAACATTACGTCGAACAGCAGCATGAGCATGAGTCTGTGTGAGCAGATGAGCACGAATGAACACAACATGAAACAGATCAGCAGCAACCTGATGTGATTTTTTTCACAGGGATTATTCTGTTTAGAGATTCATGAGTCTAACAGCCTCAGGGTAGAAGCTGTTCCTCAGTCTAGTGGTTCTACATTTAATGTTCCTCAACCTCCTTCCTGAGGAGAGTGGGGCAAAAAGTGTGTGTGCTGGGTGAGTGGGGTCCTTCATGATGCAGGTGGCCCTCTTCCTGCATCTAGAGGTGTAAATGTCTGTGATGGTGGAGAGACTGACTCCAACAATCTTCTGTGCAGCCTTCACCACTTTCCGCAAAGCTTTTCTTTCTGCAGCTGTGCAGCCTCCATGCCACATGTTGATGCTGGAGCACAGGATGCTCTCCACTGCACACCTCCAGAAGGAGGTGAGGACTGAGCTTCCCAGTCCAGCTCATCTCAACCGCCTGTGGAAGTAGAGTCTCTGATGAGCTTTCTTGATCAGGCTGGTGGTGTTGTTGCCCCAGCTGAGGTTGTCATTCAGGTGTACACCCAAGTACTTGTAGCTGGAGACCACTTCCACCGCAGATCCTCTTATGTTCAGGGGTGTATATGTGTGTTTGTTCCTTCTGATGTCCTCATTCATCTCCTTTGTCTTCTTCACATTGATGTGAAGTTTATTCTCTTTGTACCAGCTCTCCAGGTGTTCCATCTCCTGCCTGCCACCTCCTCCTGTCATTGTTTGTGATGCATCCCACCACCGCTGTATCATCTGTAAACTTTACAATATGACAGCCTTGATGGGTAGCTGCACAATCATACGTGAGCAGAGTAAACAGGAGGGGGCTCAACACACAACCCTGAGGAGAGCAGTGCTGAGGGTTATGGTAGAGGAGGAGAGGTTGTGGATCCTCACTGACTGTGGTCTGTTTGTTAAGAAGTCTAGTACCCAGTTGCAAATGGAGGGGCTTAGTCCTAGTGTGAATAGTTTGTCCATCAGGGTTTGAGGGATCATGGTGTTGAAGGCAGATGCGAAGTCCCCAAAGAGCATACGGACGTAAGAGTTTTTCTGCTCCAGGTGGATGAGCGCAGTGTGGACCCACAGAGGAGATGGCATCCTCTGTTAATCGGTTCTCGCGCTATGCATACTGCTGAGGGTCCTCGTTGATGTTGATGGCTGTTTTGATATGGGTCATGACCAGTTTTTCGAAGCATTTAGCGACTTTCGGGATGAGGGCCACTGGCCTATATTCATTCAGACCAGTCACTGCAGAGCTTTTTGGGACTGGGATGATGGTGGCAGTCTTCAGGCAGGTGGGAACTGTCTCCAGGGTAAGTGAGGTGTTAGAGATATCTGCCAGCACCTCGCAGAGCTGATCGGCACATTCTTTCCACACTTTTCTGGGGATGTTGTCTGTGCCGGTTGCCTTGTGCATATTAATCCTCCTGAAAGTACTCCTTACTTGGGCTGAGGTCACGCTGAGATGCTCTTCATCCGGTGGTGAGGTGTGTCTGGTGCTGGGTGGTCTGTTCGGGTCTTCAAAGCGTGCATAGAACTTGTTGAGGGCATCAGGCAGAGATGGGTCTTTTGAGGCATTTTTGGCTCCTTACTTTATGTTCTGTTATGCACTTAACGCCCCTCCCCAGGATCCGAGGATCTTATGAGGTGAATTGACCCTCGATCCTCTGTGCATATGTAGCCTTGGCCCTCTTAATACCAGCAACTAGGGGTGTAACGGTACTAGGGCTGAGAACCTTTCTAAAAAAATTGGTATTGGTACCGGTGTCGGTACCTTCACTTCGGTGTCGGTTCCTGGATGGTTCTTTTTTCGGTACCAATTTTGTAATTAATATTCATTCTAACAAATAAAATTACGTTATACATTACAGTACAAATTGTGAATTTTATTTTTTAACTTGGGTATTTTTCCATTCTAAGCAGTTTTCTTACATAAAAACAAACAAATAATTTCCAGTTCAAAAGAACAGTTTCAAACCAGTGACACGTCAGTGTCTAATGTTCACTGATACACACTGAGGATCTTTTCACTGAACAGTTTTTCTTCAGAAACATCAACATGTCTGTTTTCTCTGGACACAAACAAGCCCACTCCTGGCTGATGGTGTCTCCAGCAGTAGAAAATGTTCACTCTGAAGCTATAGATGATGCTTGTTGCACACACAGATACCTGGTTGTCTGTTTGATAGCAATGACATATTGTCCTTCACATTCCACCAGCAGGTCACTGGATTCACTGAGGTAGGGATGATGCAGACTTCTGCACCTCTGTGTCTCTGCCTTAATCTTCTCTGTGGTTCTCTGGGGTTTAGGGCTCTGATCATCTCCCTAATTGACATGAGAACAAAACATCAACAATAACATGGTTGTGTTATTATTGATCAAAAAACATTATCTAGGCTGAGAGATAAAAGCTTAACTGGTCAACATCTTTTACAGTTTAGTTACCTCTACCATGCAGCTCCACTGTACAAAAAGACAGCAAACTTTTAACAACAAAGTCTGATTGTCCTGTGGCCCCCACTTCACTTTTCTGTCTGTCCTCACATCTGGGTCAGAACCTCCTGTGAGGAGAACATTAACATAAGCCGTGCCACCTGTGCTCCCTCTTCAGGACATTGCCTTCCATCCGCGCCGGAGATACATTCACCGTGGCTCCCGCCGTAGACTCCACGTTGACAAGTCTAACCCCATAAACTCTATCTGGTCTGACTCTCACCATTCTACACGCCGCAATACTCGGGCCGCTAATAGTAGTAGCATGTTAGCTAGCCTAGCTCGGTCGGCTAATGCTCTGGTCGCTACCAACTCCTCCTCCGTAAAGTTTGGCCTTCTGAACGTTCGCTAACTCACTGGAAAAGGTCAGCTTATTCAAGACCTAATATCCGACCGTAAGCTGGATTTAATTTGTCTAACAGAAACGTGGCAACAACAAAATGTCTTTTTCCACCTGAATGAATCTACCCCACTGGGGTTTGTTTACATCGCCAAATCCCACGAGTCCGGCCGCGGAGGAGGTCTCGCGATAATTCACCGCGAGAACTGGAAGGTCACGCCGGTTCACACACCTCCCTCTCCCTCCTTTGAGCACACTGTGTGTCTACTCTCCGGCCCTACCCCCAACATTGTTGCCACTTTCTACCGTCCGCCCAAAATCAACAACTCTTTTATAAATGACTTTGCTGCTCTAATCGCCCATCTCTCAGCTCTTTCACCCAACATTATTCTGCTTGGAGACTTCAACATTCATATGGATGAAGACAACAACCCCCTCACCAGAGACTTCACATCCTGCCTTGACAGCTGTGGCTTCCAGCAGTTCATTAACTTTCCAACCCACATAAAAGGCCACACTTTGGACTTATTATGCTGCTCTGGACTCTCTCCTCTTAACTTTTCTTCTGATGAACTTCCATTTACTGATCACCTCGTGATTTCATTCAGTGTCAATCTTAAATTTTCTAAAGAGAAACCTCAACGCACTCTTTCCTTCCGTAATATTAAGAATATCAACCATGACATTCTTTTGTCTCATATTAATAATACCTTCTTCACCTTCAATTCTTTTAACCCAGATGACCTTGTCACATTCTACAATAACAGCCTCACCAACATCCTTAACTCTGTCGCTCCTCTGAAAACCCGCTCTGTCTCTTTCTCCAACTCTGCACCCTGGTTCACTCCAGAACTCCGTTCTCTGAAATCCAAAGGTCGGAGGTTGGAGCGACTCTATAAGAAATCCGGTCTCTCAATTCACAAGGAACTCTATGCGAACCACGTCATCCAGTATAAGGACAGTATTTCTCAAGCCAAATCCAGCTACTTCACTGACATCATCAGTTCCAATGTTGGCAATTCAAAGACTTTGTTCTCTCTCCTTAACCGTTCAGTCTCATCTCCTAACTCATTACCCTCTCACATGGTTTCCACAGAATTTTGCAACTCTCTGATGTCCTCTAAAAAAGTTAAATCTGGTCCTCTGGACATTCAAAAAAAACAAAACAAAGCAAATCAACAAAAAAATATAGAAACGTTTCG